ACTCTTCGCGAGACATGATGGAGCATTATAAAAAGTTCAAACTAATTCACCCACAGAAGAAATGTGAAAAGAAAGTGAACAACATTGATAACAATTCAACACTGCAATGTTGAAATAGGAAAAGAGCGATTTCAGCCATAACCCGACTAGTTTAATAGTATTCGAGCTGAAACACGGAGAACACAATACCATTGATCTTAAATATGAGAAACATCCATTTCAAAGTTTGCGCATAAGCAGAGGAGCACCATACTGTGGATGAATAGTGATTGTTGCAAATGGAGCATGTGCATAAGACGGAGAGAGTTCGAAGGAGAACTTTTGTAATATCATTGCTATTCCAATTTTTGCTTCCATCATTGCAAAGTTTTGTCCGATGCAAACTCGAGGTCCCCCGGTAAATGGAATAAACGAGATGCGTCCTTTTGTTGCCTTTGACACTCCTTCACTGAATCTTTCTGGTTTGAATTCCTTTGCGTCTTCACCCCATAATTCCTTGTCATAATGAATTAATATTGCGGGTATAACAAGTAGCACTCCAGCTGGTAGACTCAGCTCCCCTAATTTGACTTCATGTTTGTTCCTTCTACGATATGTTGGTACTGGGGGGAATAGTCTTAACGTCTCATGCAAGATCATTGTCACCTATGTATGGAAAGAAACATGTATTGGATAAGTTGGAAGTAGAATTAGTTCATTTCTTACAAAATCTAGATGTCATGCCTTCCTAATATATTTTAATCTGCTCTCAGTTGGAACAATTTGGCATTAATGATGGGCAAGACGATTTAACAGCTACTTGTTTTATCTTGATTTTACAGTGTTGTTCATCTTTGAAAGTTGATCTATGCAGTGATCTTGGGCTATTTTAAGTTGTCATACATAACAAACTTGTGGAAAGTACTTACAATTTTGAGGCGACTTAGTCCTTCCAAATTTGGTTTTTCATTTCCGAAGACCTGCAAAGCCTCCTCTCTGGCACGTGCTTGCCACTCTGGATGTAGGCATAACAAAATCATTGTCCAGACGAGCAACACTGCAGTGGTCTCTTGTCCAGCAAAATAGAAAAACTTGCATTCATCAATGACTTCAGTTGTTGTCATTCCGAAATCTTTGCTTCCGTGTTGTTCAATTTCTTTCATATTGGATTCAAGTAATATGCCTAATAAGTCATTTTTACTAGTCTCCCCTGCTTCCATTGCCCTCAATCTTTTGTCGATGATACGCTTAATCGTTGTTTGGACTTGCTTTTCGATTTCCAGCATTCTTTTGTACCTTTTAGTAGGCAAGAACCTAACAAAACAAATTTAAATGCAAACAAGAAAAGTCTTTTTAGCAGAAAGTAATGAACATGTCATTTTCCATATTATGTAAATAAATTGTTATACCTTGATCCTGGTATATAAATTGAACGATTTATATCCGTTACATACTCAGCTTGTTCATTCTGAAGTTCAAATACTATTCTCCCTTCTTCATAGCTACTCCCAAATGCAGTTCGAGAAATGACTTCAGCGGTCATTAATTGAAGGTCTGGCCATACATCGAGCTCGAATGATGTTTCCTTGGGAATAATCTCCTCCCATTTGCTTATTATTTCACTACAACTCTGATAAAATGCTGGCAACATATGCTGTACAAAACAAATTAATCGCAAAAACCAGTACTAGTTATCAGTAGCAGAGCTACATATATTGAAGGGGCCTCAATTGAAACCCCTTCTTCGGGAAATTAACTACTGGAATTGGGTAACAACAATTGTTTTTGGGCATATAGATATAAATTTTTGAATCCCTTCATAATGTTAAATTTACCAATGTTTTCTATATTTATTAGTAATAAGAATATGAAGTGAATATAACCTTTAACTTCTCAGTTTGGAAAGCAGGATTGATGATTTTTCGGTGTTTGGCCCATTTATCTTCCTCAAGCTTCGCAAGACCTATAGCCAATAACTTGGAAAATGGATTGGGATGAGTTTCCTTTTGGTACACATAATTCTTTGTGAAAATCTCCTTTACATGTTCAGGATCTGTAATCAACACTACTGGATATGGGCCTAGCCACACAAAAGAACTTTTACCTGAGAGTAATCAATTTTCGATTAGAAAAAAGAAACAGCATAATTCATAAACACTCCAACTTCAGTCCAATAAATATTTCACTGTGTATTCGGTTAAATATTAAAATTCATAGATTTGAAATCTTGGATCTGTCTCTACTTGGAGTTCGCGACCTCTTTCATGGATGGAGCTAGGGTACCAAAAAGTGATTCATCTGGATTCTCTTTAGAAAAAAATTACACCATACATATATACAAGAATAGAATTTTTTTACTGTTTTAAAGAAGAATAAAAGAAAATACCATTTTTGTTGATGGAGTCACAGAAAAAAGGGATGAGCCTTTGGGCTATATCATCAGAGAAATTGATAGGCTTAGATTTGGCTTCATTGAGTTTATTTGTGAATTCCTTCAAATCTCCATGGTATAATTTGTATGGATTTCCCTTAAGACCACTCTTTCTTAAGTATTTTTCAAGTTTCTTTGGCTTTAACCATGCCCAATTCAACACTCTCCATGTATATACCAACAAAACTGCAACACAAATTGCTTCTATAATTCTGTTGTAAGAAATCTTCATGAAATTAATGACAGTCTTCTTTTTAGCTGCTTTCTTTCATTGTTGGATCCGCCTCCTCTCCATTTTTCCAAAGTCCTTTCTTTGACTGGGACATGTGGCATAGGTTAGATTTAATGCTATAATTTAATTAACCAAAGAAAGTCCTTCACTATGGTTCTGATAATAAATACATACTTAGTTCCAAATATTATTGTTATCTCACAATTTTAGCACCATATTAGTATTTTGTCCATAAATATAGTAAAAAATAAAAGGCATAATACATAAACATGTCCTTTAACTGAAATCTATGCCCTTCAACTTTGGGTGTGCGCACAAGTAGACACTTAACTTGCATAAAATTAAACAAATATAACACATCCTACATGACATAATACACGTAGGACGCCACATAGGACACAAAATTGTCATGTATGACGTCACGGAAGACGAATGTGTCTATTTATTTAATTTTATACAAGTTTAAGTGTCTACTTGTGCACACTCAAAGTTGGAGGGCATAGATGCAAGTTGAAGCCAAGTAAATGGCATATTTATGCATTATGCCTAATTCATGTAAATTGTTCCCTAAATACAAAAAAAATCCTCTAAAAATGCTAAGGTTGTACATACTGTTCCGTCAAATCCCTACGGAGGGTTCCATAAAGATTTCACAAAAAATTTATCCGGAAATCACATCACCAAAGTATTTATGAGGTAACACACAAAATACTGAGAAAATCACCTAGTTTTTATAAATTGGACTCTAAATGCCCAAAAATCACTCTAAAAATGGTGAGACTGTACGTACTACTCCCCCAACTCCCTACGGAGGGTTTCATAAAAGTTTCGCAAAAAAATCTTTCAAAAGTCATATAACCAAATATTGTCAGCTAACACACACGAAAAACTTAGAAAAATCACCTAATACTTGTAAATTGACCCCTAAATGCCCAAAAATCACTCTATAAATGGTGTGATTATACTTACTACAACCTCAACTCCCTACGAAGGGTTCCATTAAGATTTTGCAAAAAATTCATCCGAAAGCCATATTACTAAAATATTCATGTGCTAACATACACAAGAAAATTGCCCGATTTCTATATATTGGTCCCTAAATACCCAAAAATCACTCTAAAATTAGTGAGACTCTATGTACTGCTCCCCAACTCCCTACAGAGGGTTTAATTAAGATTTCGTAAAATTTCGTCCCGAAGCTATGTCACAAAAATATTCATGTGCTTAACACACGTGAAAAATTGAGAAAATTGTCTAATCCTGTTAATTAGTCCCTTAATGCCCAAAAATAACTCTAAAAATGGTGAGATTGTACATACTGCTCCCCCAACTCTCTACGAAGGGTTCCATAAAGGTTTCGCAAAAAAAATCAACTAGAAGTCATATCACCAAAATATTCATGTGCAAACATACACAAAAACTGAGAAAATTTTCTGATTCCTATATATTGGTCCCTAAATACCCAAAAATTACTCCAAAAATAGTGAGACTCTACGTACTTCTCCCCAACTCCATATGGAGGGTTTAATAAAGGTTCCGTAGGAAATTCGTCCAGAAGCCATATCACAAAAATATTCATGTGCTAACACACATGAAAAACTGAGAAAATTGCATAATCTTGTTATTTGGCCCCTAAATGCCCAAAAATGATTCTCAAAATGGTGAGATTGTACTTACTGCTCCTCCAACTCTCTATGGAGAGTTCCATAAAGGTTTCACAATTTTTTTTCTCAAAGTCATATCACCAAAATATTCATGGCTAACTAATATAGACAAAAAACTGAGAAAATATCCTAATTCATGTAAATTGGACCCTAAATGCCCAAAAATCATTCTAAAAATGGTGACACTGTACGTAACTTCTCCCCTGACTCCTTACGGAGGATTCCCTAAAGGATTCGCAAAAAAGGTTTTTTCGGAAGTCATATCACCAAAATATTCATGTACGTCACACACAAAAAAAGGAGTTTTGGACGTTGAATCCTAGTTTTTCACCGTAGTGTTTACCCACATCTTGGTTTGATATAAACACAGGGGTGTGAGTCATGAAATTTTGCTGATTTAATCAGTTTTTCTCCTTGTAAGTAGAAATAAACTTGCAGGACTGAGAGAGAACAATCTATATGCACAAGACATAAAGGCTTGACTTGCATAATTAGGAATCACTGATGTAAGCTCTTCACGAGACACGATGGAGCATTATAACAAGTTTAAACTAATTCACCCACAGAAGAAATGTGAAAAGAAAGTGAACATGAACATTGATAACAATTCAAAACTGCAATGTTGAAATAGGAAAAGAATTATTTCAGCCATAACCCGACTAGTTTAGAAGTATTCGTGCTGAAACAAGGAGAACACAACACCATTGGTATTAAATATGAGCAACATCCATTTCAAAGTTTGCGCAAAAGCAGAGGAGCACCATACTGTGGATGAATATTAATTGTCACAAGTGGAGCATGTGTATAAGACGGAGAGAGTTCGAAGGAGAACTTTTGTAATATCATTGCTATTGCCATTTTTGCCTCCATCATTGCAAAGTTTTGTCCGATGCAAACTCGAGGTCCCCCGCCAAATGGAATAAACGAGACCTGTCCTTTTGTTGCCTTTGACACTCCCTCACTGAATCTTTCTGGTTTGAATTCCTTCGCGTCTTCACCCCATAATTCCTTGTCATAATGAATTAATATTGTGGGTATAATGAGTAGCACTCCAGCTGGTAAACTCAGCTCCCCTAATTTGACTTCATGTTTGTTCCTTCTACGATATGTTGGTACTGAGGGGAATAGCCTTAACGTCTCGTGCAAGATCATTGTCATCTAAGGAAAGAAAAATGTATTGGATAAGTTGGAAGTAGAATTAGTTCACTTCTTACAAAATTTAGATGTCATACCTTTCAGAGATCTTTTAGTCTCCGAGTAAATGCCCCTAGGAGACTGGAATAGGCCGATAGAAAATGTGGTTTATCTGATCTCAGTGGGAACAATTTGGCATTAATGATGGGCAAGACGATATAACAACTACTTATTTTATCGTTGATTTTACAGTGTTTTTCATCTTTAAAATTCGATCTATGCAGTGATCTTGGGCTATTTTAAGTTATCTTACATAATGAACTGGTGGAAAGTACTTACAATTTTGAGGTGACTTAGACCTTCCGAATTCGGTTTTTCATTTCCGAAGACCTGCAACACCTCCTCTCTGGCACGTGCTTGCCACTCTGGATGTAGGCTCAACAAAATCATTGTCCACACGAGCAACACTGAAGCGGTCTCTTGTCCAGCAAAATAGAATAACTTGCATTCTTCAATCATTTCAATTGTTGTTATTCCGAAATCTTTGCTTCTGTGTTGTTCAATTTCTCTCATATTGGATTCAAGTAATATGCCTAATAAGTCATCTTTACTAGTTTCCCCTGCTTCCATTGCCCTCAATCTTTTGTCGATGATACGTCTAATAGTTGTTTGGACTTGCTTTTCGATTTCCAGCATTCTTTTGTTCCTTTTAGTAGGCAAGAACCTAACAAAACAAATTTAAAAGCAAACAAGAAAAGTGTTTTTAGTAGAAAGGAATGAACATGTGGTTTTCGATGTTATGTAGAAATTTCACAAATAAATTGTTATACCTTGTTCCTGGTATATAAACTGAACGAATTATGTTAATTACATACTCAGCTTGTTCTTTCTGAAGTTCAAATACTATTCTCCCTTCTTCATAGCTACTCCCAAATGCAGTTCGAGAAATGACTTCAGCGGTAATTAATTGAAGGTCTGGCCATACATCGAGCTCGAAAGATGTTTCCTTTGGAATAATCTCCTCCCATTTGCTTATCATTTCGCTACAACTCTGGTAAAATGCTGGCAACATATGCTGTACAAAAGAAATTAATCTCAAAAAGGTGGTTCAAAAGTTGCTATAGATTTCAGGTTCAAATCTCAGGTGTGGCATGCTTGCATTGTTTTAAATCCACTTCACGTTGTTTGTTACTGCACTCGTGGACATAAACGGACAACTTCATAATGTTAAGACATTTCAATATGCTATCTTAAGTTCTAAGCATGAAAATTTACCAATGTTTGCTAAATCTATTAGTACTAAGAATATGAAGTGAATATAACCTTTAACTTCTCAAGTTGGAAAGCAGGTTGGATGATCTTTCTGTGTTTGGCCCATTTGTCTTCCTCAAGCTTCGCAAGACCTAGAGCCAATTTCTTGGCAAATGGATTGGGATGAGTTTGCCTTTGGTACACATAATTCTTTGTCAAAATCTCCTTTACATGTTCAGGGTCTGTGATCAACACTACTGGATATGGGCCTAGCCACATAAAAGAACTTTTACCTGAGAGTAATCCATTTCGATTAGAAAAAAAAGAGGCAAAATACATCAACATACACTCAAATTTAATCCCAACTGACAAGCAAGCACTCCAACTTCGAGAGTGCACATATGTTGACATGTTAACCATACATCTTTTTTACTTTGCCTGATTTGGTGCAAGAAAACACAGGCAAGTAAGTTATCAACTATGAATTCATAGGGCTCTAATTGCTTAGGTAATTGCATCAGTCAACTATAGTCTTTAGTTGAGATCAGGGGAGGAGCAACCACAAAACGTATTGGTTCATGTGAACTATGTAGCTTTTGTCAAGATCTTGTTTATTATATGTATTTTAGGAACCATAAATGTTTGATCGTATATCCATTTATATACACTTAAGGTCCCTATTAAAATCCATAAATTTCAAATCTTGGATCTGCCTCTACTTGAGAGTTCACGGCCCTCTGAACTCATGGATGGAGCTAGGGTACCAAAAAGTGATTCATCTAGATCCTCTTTACAAAAAATTACACTGCATAAAGACAAGAATAGAAAAAATTTATTCCTTTAAAGAAGAATAAATGAAACATACCGTTTTTATTGATGGCGTTGGCGAAAAAAGGGTTGATTCTTTGAGCTATACCGTCAGAGAAATTGATGGGCTTAGATTTGGCTTCATTGAGTTTATCTGTGAGTTCCTTCAAATCTCCATAGAGTAATTTGTATGGATTTCCCTTAAGACCACTCTTTCTTAAGTATTTCTCAAGTTTTTTTGGCCTAAACCATGCCCAATTCAACAGTTTCCATGTATATACCAACAAAACTGCAACATAAATTGCTGTTATAATTGTGTTGTAAGAAATCTCCATGAAATTAATAAAATGCTTCTTTCTAGCTGCTTCCTTTTACATAGAAAAAAGAGGGGAAGTTAGCTAATTTATAACCTTTTAATTTATTGGATTTGACTCCTTTCCATTTTCCCCAAATTCTTGATTTGATTGCTGAGATTTAACTAACCAAAGAAAGTCTTTGACTATGGTTCAGATAATAAATACATTATATATTTAGTTTCAAATATTATTGTAATCTCACAATCTTAGCAACATATTATTATCTTGTCCATAAAAATAGTAAAAAATAAAGGCATAATACAATAATATACCCTTTAACTTTTTTTAAAAAAACCTTTAACTTGGCTTTGGCGGACATCTATGCCCTCCAAATTTAGGTGTACAAAAGTAGATACTTAAGCTTATATGAAATTGAACATGTAGCCACATACATCTACGTGGCATAATACATGTAGAATACTACATAGGACACAAAATTGCCATGTAGGACGTCATGACCTAAGACGAATGTGTCTATTTGTTTAGTTTTATATAAGCTTAATACTCAAAAGTGATTCTTTTTATAGATTGAACAAGCTTATCTCTTCTTCTTCTCCTTTTTCCTTTTTGTTTCATCCGTTTACACATATTAAATTAAAGGTATGAACTATTAAATCTAAATATTACACAATTTGATTTTTGGTGCATCCATTTTTCAAAAAAAAAATTATTTTTAACTTGGACACCCTTCATAAAATTCTATAGAGACATTTCTAAACCAAACTATTAGCGGTAGATGAATTTTGGATCAAACTATTAACGATAAGGACATTTTTAGATCAAACTATTAATGGAGTGCATTTTTGTTCAATTTCACATATTTTAAGGGTATTTTGACCCTTTTCCAATTAAAATAATTGGACAATAAATACATCCTAAAATGGAAAAAAATACAAATGCAATATCGAATGTAATAGATTTGTTAGTCATTCCTCATCCAAAAATGAAGGCAAGACTTACTCAAAGGCTCAAACTCCTATGTTGAAAAAATTACTTTGAATATACTCTCTCCGTCATAAAATAAGTGTCACTTTAGCTGATCATTTCACACTTATTAAGAAAAATAACAAATAAAAGATATAGTTTACTAAGTTATCCCTTTTAATTAGATTTTTCTTGAGAGTCGAGTACTATTTAAAGGAAGTAGTTCTTTAATACAAGGGTGTAGTTGGAAACACAAACTATATTTTGTTTTGAATTCCTATATATGATTCTTCTAGCAAAGCTCAAGGTATATTTGATATTCTTTATACATGATTTTTTTTACTTGTGAACGGCTAATTTTGAGTTTTAAATATCTCCCTTATACATATACTTGCTTATCATTTTTTTGCGGCTATATTATAATCTAATTTTTGTATCTATAAAATAAAATTGAGGCATCTAAGATAAATTTTAGGGAAAATGCATAAGTACCCCCCCCCCCCCCC